CGATCTGACGTGTTCTTTCACACAAAGATCGTTTTACTTGAAAATGGCACGCAAGAATTTTTGCCATGCATTTTCTCGCTTCTAACGTCATCGATCCAGGATTCCGCAGCAGTGGGAAAAAATATCATACACAATGTAAGACTTGTAAGAACGATCTGATCGATAACGCGGTGACAACGTCCAGCAGGCGTGAAATTGTTTTCGTCGCGCCGCGCTCGAGATTTCCGGAGAGAAAAGCGCGCGCCTTTGTTTACCGAAGTGTTTACGCGCGCGATGCTATATAATGGCGATGTAATTGCATTTTTCACGAGACCGCGCGCATCGTACCGTAATCATCGCGCTGGATAATAATTCATCTTAATCGTGGGAAAGGCCGCATTGGTCGCGCTCAATTTCCGTGACGTTCGCACGTCTACGAGGATCCGGCGTTATAACGAGCGCGAAGTGCACTCAATACCTGCGCGCGCACAATACGCGCGCGATATTATCGCGCGCGCGCGCGCATACGTGCGAGTTTTCATCATTATTCGCAAGGCACACGTGCGCGCGTATTACGACTCGCTTCTTCTTTCGAGTTTTGTTGATGTCACGCCCGTCCCGTTCACACGATTCACACGCGAACCGCGCGCGCGTACTATATATTATATACATACGTATGTATACTCTACTTTTGCAGGAGAGTTCTCTTTGACTTAAATCTTTCCGGATAACGTTCCTTTGTAGTGACACAATGGCCAAGGTGGCCACGTGCGAACGCTGGTAGATTGCACCACGCTGACGAGCCCACAATGGTACGCAACGCGGATCTCCTGTTTACCGCGCGCACAACACGCTACCGGTTCTCGGCTGAAAATCGGGGAACGGATTCCGAAGTCTTGCCGACCGCGTGCTTGCTTGCTCCCTGCTTGCCCCGAATCCCAGTTCCCTACATCCGGTAGCGCGCCGTGACGTTAACGGCACACAATGTTGCGCTCACTTTTCTTCGCAGAGAGCACTTCATCATCAACTTCTTCTTCTCGATGCGCATACGCGTATCATCACGAGCGCGAATATGCTGCGTGCACGTGCGATTTCGTGCCAGTCATCCGATAGTCACTCGCATCTTGAGAGCTTTACTATTTTCGCTGACATTCGTAGTTAAGAAGAGCGTCGCCACAACGGGAATGCAGGTATGAGCGATGACGGTTCGGGAGCGCCGATGATGTATCGGTTGGTCGTTTGCGGAAAGTGTAACGCGAAAAACACTTGTCGCCCTTGTTGCTTCACTGTGACTCGCTTCTTGACGACATCGCGCCTCCTAGAATAGAGTTATTAATAAAGATTACCATCTCTTTTTCCAGACACGCCGCCCTGCTGAACAGCGTCAAATTGTTCGAAATTTATCGAGCATGACGCGAAAGACAGTACTCGAGTCCGCTTTCCCAGGAACGTCTACGGCGAAGCGTAAAATGGACTACAACGAGATCGAGATAAGGAAGAAAGAAACAAAGGAATGATCGATAACATTTAACAGAGCCCCTCAGGATCGTTCTACTCCGTTTGCCTCTCACGAAGATGCGCATGAGAATTCGAGGTGAGAGAGAAACGTAGCGAGCACGATCGTGCACGTTTGACACATCGTATAGAGTGGCACGTGCGATCTTCGGCGCATCGATCTCACCTTCGCCGATCGCGTCCCCCTGCATAGTTTTACGCTGTTCACGCTGAATGGCACGAACGAGCGATGCACGTGCTTACGTGCGTTACGTCGGGACGCATGCGCGCCAAACGTAAACCGTACACGCGACTGTCACTACCACGACTTCATTCATATTTTTTCCTTCTAACCGCTCCACCCGTTCCATTCACGCGCCTCGTTCGCTCGCGCTCGATCGAGCCGGCCTACAGTAGCGGCAGCAACTCGAGTAGTCTTCGATTGACCACCGCTGATAATGCTCCACATCTGCCGCCACATTTATGCACGATTGCCGCTTAGATTTCGCGCGACTTCCTCTATTTCGTTCCGCGTGCCTCTCTCTCTCTATCTGTCTCTCTTTCTCTTTCTCGTCTCTTCGTCGTCATCTGACGGTCGATTAACCGCCAGCGACTCGGCATTATGCCGTGCCGTCTGTTTCTCGTCTATTTTTATCTCCCAATTTCTTTTTCCCTCCTTTCCACATGTGTGTTTTACTTTTTACAACCGCATCGCGCCGTGATACCGTAATTCTGTAAGATGTGACGGATGTCCGCGATTGACTGGGCTCCTCGTTGCAGGATTGCCTCTCCTTCACTCGATGTGAAGCGCAATTGAACACCGTCCTTTTTTCATCGCATCTCGGAACACTTTCCCATACGTAGCGTACTGCACTGCCCGCCGAGGTGGCTTTCCTCATGCGCAGCAACCGCATATGTAATAACCTGTTGTTAGAACGGAAGTATTATGCGAAGGACGTGTTGCATTATCACTCTCAGACGTAAGTGATATTCGAAGATAATGCCCGGAGGATTTACCCAAGACGTCCACTTCCGGTGATAAGAGGCGCCGGGAATTTACAAAACCGAAGAGACCCTTGCACCTATTGCGATAATGTGTGAGCTGATTCCGAGAAAGCGTAATTCATCAGCGTGTGCGTGTCGTTCCAATTAATTTAGAATAATATAGCAGATATTGTGTAGATCAAGGGGAGGAGGAGGTCAAATTATATAATTCGAGTTTTATTTGCACTGCGTAGACTGCGTGAGAATCTATGACAATAATCTGCACACACAGACGCGCGCGCACACACACACACATGCGCGCGAGAAATAGGCGAAAGCCCGTAATTTCCCTTTGCCTTTTCATTAAAAGACGCGGACTCGATTTCCTACTTAATTACGCGCCGCGTTGCTCGTCGCTATCGCGGCGTGTCGCGGGAGGAGCGTCCGTACTCGCATATTCACGTGGGAAATTCCGTGAAAGTCTCGCAAAAGTGCAAACCGGTACGTGTATGAAGCTAGTTATGCCGCGGCATCGTAAATCTTTATAATTAACGGTAAACCGATTGTGGATCTCAGCCGAGACACGTGTGCGGCTCCAGACGGCGCGCGCGATGCACGTCTCCGCGAAGTAGGAAACTTAAACGTCAAAATCGCACGATTTCGGCCTTTCTATCCTCTTTCCGATTTGCCTCTTCCGCGTACTCGGCGATGTTACGTCGCCGGTTCGTAGAGATTATCGTCGCTCCGGCCAGAGAAACTGTGACACGTTCGATGTTGATCGCGAGGAGTAGCGCGTGTAACCTTGTGCTTGTTCGCTGGAGCAACAAAGGGGAAAGGTAGCAAAATCCTCGCAAGTTCACAAGCGACGTTGAAGTCCTCTCTCTTTCCCGCGTTTCTCAACGATCCATCGATCCGTCGACCACCTACTCCTCTTGTCTCGGGCGAGGTACTCTCATTTTTTCTTCGTAGCCGAGGGACCAGTAGCCTAGATAGATTGTGAGAATCTCGCCGAGTCATGCTTACTCTTCTCTTGGTTCCGCGAAAATTCCCAAACACAGATAGACATCTACACTCTAGCAGAGTATCACTCGTTCAAATTGCTCGTCTTGACGCGTCTGTGAAACTATGTACCTTTGATCCCGGATGTGCGTATTATTCTATTATATCAACGGGATTTTGTGTGGCAAAAGTGATTCTGTCAAAGTGAGACTGAAGAGGTTACGAAGTCTCGTGATTAAGTTCTATAACTAAGTTTTAAATAGTTCTTTTCTTCTATTTTATTGTAATTTTATATATCACAGATTTTCGCAAACAGAATTTTCACTGTCGTGCATTAATTCTTTCTGATTTTCTTGGCAGTTACATCAATCATAAGTGAACAAGGGGAAAAAAGTTCAGAATGGAAGAGAGAAAGTGAGACAGAGGATCAGCAAGAACGAAACGATCGTACGAAGGAAAAAAAGGAAGTGAGAAAGAGAAGCAAGAGAGAGGAAGACAGAGAAAGAGAGAGAGAGAGAGAGAGAGAGAGAGAGAGAGAGAGAGAGAGAGAACGATGCGGCTCATGGAGCTGTGCGAAGAGCGAAGAGAAGCGAAGAGAGAGAGGAAGCGGGCCATTGCGCCATCAGGAAGTGGCTCACCACTTACACACGCGCGCACGGTTAACCAACGTGAACCAACACAACGGCGTGCACTAACACACGCTCGTCTGTGCCTAGCTCGGTGCACGAACAAGCAGGCAGACGGACTTAACGCACCGAGATAAGAAGGGAATACAGGCAGGCACCAACATCGAAAGAGAGAAACAGAGAGAGAGAGGGAGAGCACACGGTGGCGGGAGGGTGAAGGGATAGTCGCGCGAGCGGTGGTTTAACCCTGCGCACGTGTGTAAGTGCGCGCATATATGGCGTACACGCCATAAGCGGAGAGAAGAGCGTGACGCGCGCCTTTGCTCACCGGACACTGGGTATATGTCAACCCCGTAGCGGCCGGCCGTCATGCCACAGGCACGCGGATGATCCATCGCGGCAGGCCGTCCTGAGGAAATGAATGGATGCGTTGAATCGTACGGGAAACGTCGCGCACCTTCATTTCACGCTGCGAGTGCGATCACATCGAGCGATACTAGCACCGATAATGGCAGCTCGAGAGTATGCCGGCGATGTGAGATAAAATCGAGAAAAGAGACGTTCTTATACCCGTGAAATCCGAAACGGAAAAAGGCGAAAGGTTTTAATTTTATCACTAAGTGACATATACCAATTTAACAACTATTTATAATAACAGCTGTTTGATCCAATATTTATCTCACATTTCCCCCGTTATGTTTGCTGATGACACCGTCACTTGAAAACTGTTAATATTTCCTCGACATATGTTTATGCTCGGTGCACGGCGATGAACTTATTACCTCATCCGATTAAAAACTCACATAACGTCACCACCTGTCGCCGATCCTTGCCATCGATCTGCCACGATCGAAATATCGTACGCTCTTATCGAAGACGTAAGAGCTTATTGACGACCGGATTCATTGACCAGCTTCGCTTATCGTCGACGCAAACGAGGTTGCGTCTGTCGGTTACATCAGTGTTATCAGTGCCGCCTGATATTATCGCGGAATCTATCGCGCCTCTTCATTCTAATAATCATTCTCACATTCATTGCTAACGAATATCGATTTTCTTTCGTGAGATTGAAAGCACACACTTAGCAAGTATACGCAGAAGTATACGCAGTATCCCACCAAATATGTGCTTTCGCAAATTTATTAAATGGTGCTTTGAATCGTCTCTTATAAATCCTACGTCAATTAAGGCCAATTTTTCCAACCAATACTTAGTAAGCTAACAGTAAAATCGTCTTTTTTTTGTCTAATTTGAAGAAAAAACGAAGACAAAATTCAGCTGTTTTTAGTTTACCAACAGGTTGGAGAAGTCGGCCCTTAACAAAGCGTCTTAGCGATGGCAAAATTGAGAACGCGTACTGCGTGATGAATATCGCATTTTCCGCCGCCTCTTCTACGTACGCTCTTTTCCCCGCATTTGTAAAGCGCGTCGCTTAGTAAGACAGACGTAAGGAGGAAGTAATAGCATCGCGTGATAATAGGAGGGGGTCCCGCGACGTCAACGACGACAACGACGTCGATCACGACGATGAGGAGTAGGGTAGGGTAGGATAGGATGCGGGGAAAACGGCGGCGTGGGCGCCTGCTCGCGGCGCTACGGTCCTGTGCCTCAGACCCATTCACAGAATGAACGAACCGCCTGCGTTTCGTTCGTGTAGTCACTCAGTAGTGTCATGGAGGTAACATGGCCGAGGAGACGCGCCTAGTCCGCGTTGAAGAGAGGCTAAAGATCAAAATCGGTAGGAAGATACGCGTGCGGTTCGGTCGCGGAAGATGCGTGTGCGTGTGATGCATTCGTCGTCGCAGCGGATCCCGCGGGAACACGCGCCGGGACGCAATCGCGAACAAGTTTCGCCCGTGCGCGCTCAGGATGTCACCTAATTCGACTCCCACGATCGTGTCCACCTTTCCTGCGCTCCGCGGAAACGGGGTCCCGCGAATGACGCCCGTAGCGATCGCGCGTCGACGACGATCGTATCGACGCGATCCGCGACGATCGGCCGATCGACAGGTCTCGTCGGTGTCTTTCTTTCTCGTGCGAAATTCGTCCCAGTGATCGACGCGTACATTCTCGACTCCCACGCGTCGTTGTCCTCCTACGTGTGTATATGTACGTGCGTGCATGCGTGCCTGCATGTGGAGGTCCGTGCGTGGACACAAATGTTGTGTGTGTGTGTGTGTGTACTTGCGTGCGTGCTTGCTTGCTTGCGCGTGTGCCGCGACGATGGTCGTACGTACAGTGAGAAAATTGCGATCGCGAACGGACGTGCACCGAAAATTCCGAAACGACCGTGGTCGTATCGGACGCGCGTACGTATGGATCTCGTCTTGATCTTGTACTCGTGCACGAGCACGATGCCGCGCGTTTTTTCACGCTACGTCAATGATCTGGAAGTGAGCATGATCCTCGAGTCATCATCGAGATCATACGGGAAAGAGTGTTTTTTTCCTGCACTCATTGACGTGTCCTGAATTTTCGAAATTGCCACGCGAATGTTGCACCCGGCGACCGATTCTTGTTTTCATTCTATCTATCTCGATCTCTGTCATATCGTAAATAATGCTTATTTAATTGACACTAACAACACGAGAGTTTTAACTTTCACTGCTCTGGTAAATTTTAAAGTAGAATCAGGATTTTGTCTCGAAATTATTTATAGAGAACGGCAGAAAGTGTAAGTGAGTAGTGTTGAATATAGAGATGTAATGACTAATTAATAGATATAGAATGAATGAAGTTGTATTGTCTTGCATAATAATAATCGGTATTGGCAATCAATGACTCAGTGAAGAGTGATTCCATTCAAGTTACCTAATGAATGCTAAAAGTGGCAACCATTGATTGATATAAATTGACATAAGATTGATATATATATATATATATATATATATATATATATATATATATATAATTTTCTCTAATATTCTTTTAATATATATACAATATCATATAAAATAACAGTTTTTTTTTTATAAGTTGAAAGAACCTGTGAATTTATAGTAATTTTTTTTTATTCTGATTCATCTTAAGATGTTTCATTTGTTAATATTATTTGATAAATATTAGTAATTACATGATACTAATCATTTACAGGAGAAGCAAAAAACCTTCAAAGTCGAAGTCATGGGTCTCCAGGTACACGAGATGTATATTGCACATTATCGCTTGACCAGGAGGAAATATTCAGAACTACGACTATGGAAAGAACTCTCAAGTAAGTTTTGGTTGTAAAATCTTTTCTGCCTCGAGATGAAACTTCTCAGTTACTTGTTTATAAGTAAATGTTTTGTATTTTGTACAGCCCATTCTTTGGAGAGGAGTTTCAGTTTGAGGTACCCAGAAAATTTCGTTACCTTGGCATTTACGTGTACGATCGGGATAGACATTTAAAGCAGGATAAGATTTTGGGAAAGGTAGCAATAAAGAGAGAAGATTTAGCAACATATCATAACAAAGAGCATTGGTTTCCTTTGAAACCAGTCGATGCTGATTCTGAAGTCCAAGGCAAAGCACATTTGGAGTTAGCTTTGCAACCTCAAGTAGGACATGCTCAGCCTAAACTTACAATAAAGTAAGCAATAATGAAAAGCAGTTATATAGTGTATATATATTCAATCTACATATAAAATTAGAATATAAGAATCTTCTAGTAATATTTTATTTTATGTATTACAGAGTAATAGAATGTAGTGAACTAACCATTAAAAATGGTAGCTGTGATCCCTTTGCAACTGTTACAGTCATCTATAGCAATGGTAAGCAAATATCAAAACGCACAAAAGTTAAAAAGAAAACGTCGTCACCGCAATTTAATGAAACGTTTGTGTTTGAGGTAAGGAGATATATTACTTTTTCTATTTATTCTTTCATATATGTAGTGCATATAAAATTATTTTTTTGCTTCTATATACTAGCCGGAATTAACAGAGACCAAGGACAAGGATGTCTCTCATTATTCTATTGAAGGAGCAGAAGTTGGAGAAGTGGTTGTTGGTCTGTGGCATGCATCTCCTGGTATGGGAGAGCAATCAGTATTCCTTGGTGAAGTACGAGTTACTCTAAGAGGTTTACAAAGACAGCCAACCAGTACAACAACCGCATGGTATGTTTTTCCTTTATTTATGGTATGTTTTTATGGTATGGTATGTTTTATGTTTGGTTTTTTTTTTATTTTCATTATAGATTTAAACAAACTACATACTTTAAAAAAATGCAGACAAAATCGATGAGAATTTAAGAACTTTTTTTAATCGTGAATCTAAGATCTTTTTTTTTTTATTTGCATTACATTATATTGTGTATTTTTGTAGGTATTTTTTACAACCTAGAGCAGCAAAACATCGTCCAAGTAAAATTTCAAGCAATTCAACACCACCTGGTACATTACCAGGTTTGGGTTCGTTACGTTTGAAGATACACTACACAGCTGATCATGTCTTTCCATCTGAAAAATACGATAGACTCAGGAGTTTATTACTACAGAGTGTAAATATTCAGCCTATAACATCATCGGCTGTTTACATATTGGGTGAAATTGTAGCTAGTAAAATGGAAGCTGCACAACCGTTAGTTAGAGTATTGGTGCATCATGGACAACTGGTGTCTGTAATGCGAGCGCTTGCTAGTCATGAGATTTCTAAATTAACGTAAGTAAAAAAATTGATTATATTTTAACTTAGGTTCAAGTATCAATGATTATGAGTAGAAAATCAATGTTTTTCTTCTTTCAGTGACCCAACAACAATTTTTCGCGGTAATACATTAGTGAGCAAAATGATGGACGAAGGCATGAGATTAGCGGGTCTTCATTACCTGCATAGTACTCTTAGACCTGCAATGGAACAAGTCTTCCTTGAGAAAAAGCCATGTGAAATAGATCCGACTCGGGTGAAAGATGGCAATACTATTGAAACGAATTTAGCGAATTTAAAGGTATTAAATAATAAATGTTTTGTCTTTCTCAAAACAGGTTAACCAAGTATATTAATAGTTTACTAATATTTTTTCGATAGGAATATGTCGAGAGAGTGTTTACGGCTATAACAACGTCAGGAGTAAGATGTCCGCCTTTAATGTGCGAAATGTTCTGGTGTTTAAGAGAACTCGCTGCGACTCATTTTCCAAGAAATAAGGAAGTGAGGTATTCGGTGATAAGCGGATTTATTTTTCTACGATTTTTCGCTCCTGCGATATTGGGTCCAAGATTATTTGATATTACTACTGAACAAATTGTAAGTAATCAACAAATAACATGCTAAGTAAGGAACGCATTATTAACATGTAACACTTTTATTTGTTAAATTTACATATAATATATGTTATCGTAGGACTCTCAGACTAATAGAACGTTAACGTTAATATCTAAAACGATACAAAGCCTTGGGAACTTGGTGTCTTGTAGAGGAGGCGCAGGTAGTGTTTGCAAAGAAGAATACATGGAATGCGTGTATAGGTAAAATTTCAAAGAATTTTAATAAAATCAAGGGAAATTTTTTTGTGCAATTAAAATGTCAAATATAACTTTGTTTTTATCATGTATACAATTTTCTTTTGCAGAGAATTTTACACTGAAAAACATATTCAAGCAGTTAAGCAATTTCTGGAATTAATATCAACCAGTAGTAACAGTAGTGGTGTTACGAGGCAGCGACCAACGATATTGCAAGAACAACCAGTGGTCCTCAAAGAAGGGTACGTTCATTGTTTCGTTTTTCTTATTAAATATAATTCAGTTTTTCTTATTAAATATAATTCAGATTTAATATTAATAATAATCATTATTAAAATGTCAAATTTCAACTTTTGAAATTTATTTTAACATAATTACGTGAAGCAATGGTTTTATTTTTTATCAAGTTTAAAAATGTAATATTAAAATTACAAGATTTATATATAATTATTAAAAATTTTATATTTCTAATAGAATATACTTTCTCTTTATGCATACCACTGATTGCGATAAGAGGTTGGTCAATCATACAATGTCAAATTTGTGTCGATATATGATGACTTTGTCTATTGGTGTACAATCTTTTTAAGAAATTATTAATTGTTATTGTTTATTTTTCACAGAGTAATGATTAAACGGGCACAAGGTAGAAAGCGATTTGGTCGCAAGAATTTCAAGCAGAGATATTTTAGACTTACTACACAAGATCTGACGTATTCTAAAACGAAAGGTAAGTATTCTTGTAGTGCACACACACACAATGAACTTTCCCTTATAAAATAAGTGCGTTTATAAAATACAACTTACGATTAATAGGTAAAGAACCTTTGTGTAAGATACCACTAGAGGAAATTTTAGCGGTGGAAAGACTTCACGAAGATTCTTTTAAGATGAAAAATATGTTTCAAATTGTTCAACCAGAAAGAGCGTTGTACGTTCAAGCTGGTAATTGCGTGGAGGAAAAGGAATGGATCGATATTCTTACGAAGATATGTCAAACCAACAGTAACCGCTTAGAAAAGTATCATCCAAGTGCATACATCAATGGTCATTGGCTTTGGTAAGTGATTGTAAGGAGAGAGAAAGAGAAAAGAGAGAAAATCACACTAAAAGAAATATAAATAAATGATGTTATTTCTAATTGTATCTATGTTTCGGTAATACATGTAGTTGCCGGGCAGTTGCTGAGGTTGCACCAGGGTGTAGTGAGGTATCGCCGGGCATGGAAGCTGGATTACGAATGGTCCTCGATCCGGAACGCGATTTACAGAGGATACATTCGCTAATCTTCACTAATATGCCGCGCCTTGAGACATTGATGAGTGCATGTGAATGCCAGGCGGTTTACGGTGCTAGTGATATGCGTGTTATACCAGATGGAGGTTCGCCTATAGAAGATGTACCTTCTTGTTTCAAGACTTTAACCACATTAAGAGAAGCTGCATACGCGTTGGAGCACGAACATAGAGCCTACTTGAGAAGACTGGCACGCGACACCAAATATGGCAGCAAGTACGTAGAATATAAAGCACATTTTAGGCCATATAAATTAAAAATTTATCAGATATTACATCGATATTATATTTCATACATTCTTGTTGCTTTAATGTTATTTTTACTATTATTTTTAATGTAAATTTCAATATTATACGTATGCAATAATTTGCAATATTTCACTTTTATAGACAAGCTCCCATTGGTGATGACAACTACCTCCACTTAGCTAGTAGAGCAGGATTCGATAATCAGTTAACGAAGCGGTCGTACGAGATGGACGGTCTAAATCAACGAGGCATAGAGACGGAACATTACGACACGGGGTTTTCTAAGAAAATCGTCGATAGTCAAAGATACGATGACACATTCAGGAAGTATCTTGATTCTGACTCTATTAATCGTAGGTACGAAAATGAAAACAACCTATTGCGAGCATACGAAAACAATGCTGATACTATTAGAAGTATCCAAAATGATCTCAAAAAATTCGATCATAGTTTAAACAATACATTAAGATCTGATAAGTCAGAGAAGAATGGTAACGAGAATATGGAGAATCATAAGAGGCTGGATGGTACCAGTTTACTGACGGCGGATGGTATTAATCTGTCAGGTACATTGTCGCAGAAATTCAGTAATTATGATAATACTAGAGTTTTAGACGAATGTACGTTGACGAGACGATTAAAAGACGACGCCCTTGACATATCTTGTAACTCAATGAGCGAGCGTGGCAATCATTAATTTATCTACGGTGTAAAGATACAAGAGTTGTACGTTCCTATAAATTTTTAAAAAGAAAGATTCTCGACAGATTTTATATTGGTTGTCTTTTTTTTTAACTATACAGCTATCGCCTTCTCTTCATTTAGGCGAGACTATATTTTTTATCTCTATAGAGACATAGGATTATTTCTATCGTGTAAAAATTAATGACTGCTGCTTGAGGCAGTTTTCTTTGTTATGTCTGCATTTTACGATGAGTTGCTTGAATTCGTTTCTTGGATATCGCATATACGTGAGAGCCATGAGTGGGAATGTAATTTAACGTACCTTTTCGGTTTGTTACCATGTTGTGCAGAACGTAACATCTTGTCACCGCGCGCAGAAATCTCTACTATTTATTTATTTATTTTCACCTCATTTCGATATGTTGGGGATATATGTGCATTAACATGACACTGGCTGTGTTATTAATTGCACAATTTGTAATCTCATTCTTTGGAAAGTCGAGTTCTCGCTAATTGCAAACTCAACGTTAGGTTTATGCAATAACGGTTATTATTGCATTGTATTGAAAAAGAAATTAGCGTAATTGAACATAATTATCGTCTCGCGTACACGCGACACACACATACATAATTCCATTGATTTTTAAAACAGAATTATTCCTTATTAATTACATAACTCTTTAGCAGTCGATATTTATGGCATATAACAAACATACAAAAGACAGATAAAAATATAAATCGCCTAATAATATTGAATTGAATTTTTTTATTTCATAATATAATAAAATTTTAAATTTTCTGGGCGAAAATATAACAATATATTAAATAAACATATTTAATCGACATACGCATAAGAAAAGATCCAGATAACGTGCAATCACGAGCGCTGAAATTATAAAATTTCGTCTTTGTCATGCCTAAATATCAGCAAATGTTTTTTTCCTGCATTTATCATTTTAAGTTCTTTTCATATCTCTTTCCGTTCGAAGAGTTTGAATCTAAATTTGTTTGAAAATATACACAAATCTCATTTTCAACTCCGATATTTCGCTAGCTGCTTTACATACACTCTCACATAGACTCAGAAATATTATACACAAAGAAATATTAGATCTGCTAACGATTAATAATGAAAGAACATGGAAGATCTTACAATTTTAAACTGTTGATGGATATTACTTTAATAATATTTTGCTTTCGTACTATTCATTGTATAATGCTATTATAATTGGTCGTATGCTAAATGAATGTTTGAACGATTTCCTGTGATAGTGTATAATCCAGCATTCATCGTAACCTAAGCTATAAATTGCTTACGAAATGTATTGTCCACAATTAATTTGTAATGTTTAAACCTTTTTAAGATATATATTTTCTTCAGCATTTATTAAAGAACTATACTCTTATCTTTAATTGGGCAACCATAGATAATGATTGTTGTAATTAGTAGCAGTTGTTGCTCCATTTTTTTTTAAAGTCAATACGTCATGTACATAATATTGTACATAATATCGATATCAAATTAAAATATCAATTTGTTTATTAATATTTTTGCACATGCGTACATATAAAAATTTCGGCCCTTATGTTAATTTATTTAGAGCAGGTCTAAGAAATCTGACAATATCTTGTTTTTGTTGTAATAATCTGTAATTATTTAAGTAAAAATTCGAGAAGTCTCTAGTAAAAGGTGTGAGGACATGTGTGTGTATGTGTGATTACACAAATATAGAAATATTATTTCGTTAAATCTCATTTGAAAATATTGATTCTGTATTATATTGGTACAGCGATTTATAATATATAGACAAAGTTGCGGAAGCGACTAATTACGGAAATTATTAACACTTGGAAATTCTCGTATGTCAAACAACTACAAGCCATAATAATATTACGACTACAATCCCTCCATTCTAGTAGAGAACTGATACAATAACAAGTAAAGTAATAAGAAAAGCCAATTGTTAAGAAAGGGAGAGTGTACAGTTATCGTTATAGTTCATTAATATTATTATTATTATTATGAAAATATTATACAGTTTACGAAACTTTAGCTGTACAGTGTACATAATTCTCTTTTCCATGTATAGAAAGTAGATCTCCGGATTAAACATTTTTATCTACTTTACTAGGGCGTAAAATTTAAGATAACTTTAGCAAATCTGTAGACAAATCAAATCGTTTTAGTCGGATATCGAATAAACTGGATTAGTATCGGACCTAGTTTGGAAACTTAACATATCCATACAAGGCCTTTGTGTGTATAGAGTTATCTCGCTGTCCAACGCAGATAATAGGGGCTAATGTTGTATAATTTGTTAAGTAAAAGCGTTAAACAAATCGATGAACAAGTTTACATGATGTTAGTTGATTATAGAGAATATCAATTCTTCCTTTGTTTCATACGATTATATTGTATAGAGAAGTACAAGTTACATCCTCGAAATGAAACGCAATTGAGTCAATTAATTCTCATGTAAAGCGTTAATGTTACCAGGCACACAAGTTGTGTGCTTGGATATAACGTTTATGCGATTGGTCGATAAAATGGTCGTCAATCTCGTCGTTATAATTGAAGCGAGTTTTCATTCTAAGGATTCAATCTTGTGTTCTCTTCTTCTCCGATAACACATTGTTGATTTTCGCATTGCATTTCCAGATTACAAATTTAATTTACACATTAGGTGATAGCAGATAATCAAGAAGTTTATACGAGAACGCTTATGTTATATTGTTCGTAACTAGGTAGATCCGTTGTGGAATTTTCGGTACAAAAGCCTAAAATGCTAAGAGATAAAATTCCATGACAGATCGTTTACATGCGAGTAAGAAGATCAAGTTATTTGGAGAATCTTAGAAAACTGCAATGAACCATAGATCCGTAATGTAGCGTACGTTTTTAGAAGTTCAATGCAGGCATATGTGGTAATTCTACTTATGAACGGTATTATTTATATTAATTTTATTGTATTAATAATTTAATAACACTTTTATATACTCTTTCGTTGTGTTCACCGAGTAACTATTGTTATCTTGTAGAAAAACCTTAGTATAGACTGTGCCTTAAAATATGTCGAGGACCCAAAAACTGTTTCTCTTAAATCCAACACAGAGCATTATATTTCATAGATTATTTATTAAAATCAAGAATTAGGTGATGCGCTCTGTAATATATACACCCTCTGTGTATTTTAATATTGTACATATGTTTTCTGCAATAAACAAAATGTGTCCTCTGATATAATTAATACTCATCTTTTATATATCTGTATCAGAGAGAGAGAGAGAGAGAATATTTCAAATGCATTTTTCATAAATTACAAGCATTATATTAAGTTAAAGTAATTATAAAATATTACCATAAATATAAACGCGATATATGTTAGAAAAATTATTAATTATATAATTATTTCAATTTACGAAAATATCTTTAAATATGAGAAAATGCAAAAATAACTTTTATTTATTTTATAAAAATAAATATTTTATCGAAACATTGTGAAGATACGCAGAATGTATATTCTGTTCACACTAATAGTATACTGATGCGATTGTCAGATTAATTATGTGGTACACACATTATAATTTAATTAACAATTGTACTTATTAAAAATAAGTTTGACTGCTTTATCGATCGAAGCTATTGACATTGACGAAATAATGTGAAATTACAACGGAAGATGGCGCACGAGGGCTCTAGTGACGTCGATAAATGTGCATAGGGTTTTTCGTGGTTGGCAGTGTCGCTCCATCATCCGCAAATCAAATGTTTGTAGAATAGTGCGGCGGGCGTGTTCGACGTTTGAAAATTCGAATTCCTCGAGACGATCGGCTGCTGCTCGAGGAAGTGTGTGTATATTCCGCTCGTCGAACGATGTCCGGTGATGTGCAGCCAAGAAAGCGAAAGGACAAGCGGCGCAAAAAAGGTAAAAACGGAGCAGCGGTGCGCGTACGTGCTCGAGCGAGCTCAATTGACATCGCCGCTTTCGTAACACGGATCCCACGGTACGATATTTTTAGCGACACGTTTGTTTTCTTTATTTTTATCCCCGGCAATGATACGTACTCTTACTGTTTTCACCGTAACGCGCGTTCCTCGTTTTCTCTCTCATTGTCTTCCTCCTTCGTTTCTGAAAAATATGAGTCTGTTTTTTTCGCACTTACGATTTTTTTGGCCTTTCAGGATTATTGCGATGTTCCAAGCGTTTTTACGATCATGAGCGTGCCGACTATTGCAATATCACGAGTACAATACCCGAGAACATAGTCGTGAGATTATAATATCACGAGCGCATAATGCAATTTTATACTTGCTCCTTTCGATGCCAAAAATATCCGTGCATTACAGCTTGTTCATTGCTTGAGTGTGTATGCGACACACATTTCATCACAATTTTTATCTATTTTTACATAAATTCGGCATGTCTCACCAACATGGATTTTTACGACTGATTTATTGGAGTGACAAACACACACGTTGTGTTCCAAATTGCTTCTTTTAATATAAAAAAAAGTGCGAATTAATATATTAATGGAAAATATATGTAATTGCTGTCATTTTCTGAAAAATTTGCCTCACTGAAAAGTTATAAAACACTTTATTTTTGGATATGACTAATTTATATAGAGGTACTTCATGTTTTATTTTGGTTTCATATCAAATAACATTTAATATGATCCTTGGCTCATGCAAACGATTAGATATTTATCGATATAATCCTCACTTGATATGGAATTTCGATCGATTCAAGAAAGTTTGGCAAAGCTCCTTAAGAAACTGTGGGTTTTAGAAGCTCGGGCCAACCTACCTTTTAGCTTTCAAAAATAGATTAAACTGTATTATCCGGTCCAAAAGCATTTCTCGTTAAGTTACTTATGAATGCAGCTCAATTTTTCATACGTATTTTTAAGTTTCTGCCTATACATTAATTTTATATATATATATATATATATATATATATATATATATATATATATATATATATATATATAAAGACTATATATGGATAATGCCAAAGGAAATCGTATCTTACATTGTTTGCGCACCCCTAAAAATCTTCTATAAATTAGAGTATGTGTGCTATATTTAGTATCACCTATTTTCCGTACCTTTCTAGCAGATGGGGAATACACTATACAAAGGATACGTGGTGCAAGTATCGGTACGGCATAATTTTTTCTTAGTCGTAGGTATTTCATCTTCCTTAATTTTTTCCTATGCGTTTCTTTAATAAAAACGGTGTTTGTATATATGAGGTGAGACGACAAATTTCGTACAATATGACGTAAAATTTAAACATTATATTATGTGAAACATATATAACATGTATTAAATAATTGGGATATTTCTCTTTGTGTTCTGATCTCTTGTTCTTTTTATTTTCTTAATTCTTCTTTATTTAAATTTCCCTATAAAATATCAAATATGTTAAGTATGTATAAAAAATGATGTTATTAATACATTAAGCTACTTAATCTGTTATATCATATTTAGACGATGAAGATACTGGGACTCCACCGCCTACTTTGATCAGCCCGACCGATACTTCTGCGGAAAATGTGTCTATTCATATCTATAAAGAAAGCAGCACAGGCGGACATTGGTGTGCACGTATCATATTCTTTGTTTTACTAGCCGTTCTCGTTGGACTGATCGGTATAATAATCTTTGAACACAGAGGGACTACAGATGGTAAATAACAGAATAAAATCCTTTAATTATAAAACATTAAGTTTCTTAAGGAACTTAGAAGAGGCAAAAATAATTTATGCTTGACATCATATCTCAACAATTTATTTTATATGTTAAGTCGACACGCCAGTAGCATCGTCACGATGGGCAAATATATTTGAAGGCTGGGTAGATGATTCGTTACCTAGTCATGGTGACGAGCCACACGATCAGGGTGAAACATCAGAAGCGAGTGAAGAAGCATTAGAGGAGGAGGAAGAAAAAGAGGAGCATGACGAGGAAGAATCTGCAGAAGCTGAGAAGGAAGAGGAAGAAGGGGAAGGAAGTATAGAACAGGAAGATGAAGGAGATGAAGGAATCGGCGAAGAAGAAGAAGAAGAAACTGATGAAAGAGAAACAGGAGAAGAAGAAGAAGAGGAGGAGGAAATAGATGAGGAAGAAGGAAATGAACAAGAAGGAGAAGAAGAGGAAGAAGAGGAAGAAGACAATGCAGAATCTGAGGAGGCAGTAGATGGTACGTGAAACGCGTAAAGCCTACAAATACTTGTTTATAATAATAATTTTCTTTCCTTGTCTTTAGATGTTGATAGCAAAGAAGACCAAGAAGAAGACGAAGGTATTGACGAAGGGGAAGCCGATGAAGAAGAAGACGATGATGCACAACAAGAATTCGACGATAATAGTATATTAGAAGAGATTGATAATACAAATGAAGATGACGATGCGGATGAAGAAACTGATATACCTGACAATTTTGATGCGGAATTTGACGCTAGTACTGAGGCAGCTGACGACAGTTTGGAGGACAAGGATAATGATGTGTCTGAAGAATTCACGGGTATACCTGGTGTTAATGATATCGACGATAATAGTGCGGAACCCCTAGAAGAGGTACGTTTTGTTACCTTTATTACTTTTGTACATCATGTCATACTCGTAATTAAGGATTAATGCTTTATGCCTTTTTATCAGATAGAAAGTGAAGAACCTGAAGAAGATGTAAGTGATGGAGACAGTGAACCTGAAGAAGAAGAAGAGATCGAAGAAGAATCTCCTAGCGGTGAGTAACTGTAATCTGCGAGGCAACAAACGCATTAAAAAAATACTTTTGAATAATTACGTATGATGAACTATTGACATAATCCTCCATGCTCATAGTTTGTTTAATTCTTTAATATCGCAGTCTTAATTGGCAGACAAAAATGTCGCTGTTACATATTACAATACTTTTCTATGGTAAAGAAATAACATCAGAAATAACATATGGTGGTTACAGTGGCTGTGAAGTTCGGAGTCGGTGTTGCACTTCTCGTTGCTGCACATTTCGTTCTCGTTAGACGGTGGAACAACGGTAAATTCTATGTTACACACATTACCTCATTTCGACACATTTCTTCCTGGTTAGGATTATTTAGACGTATCAGATGTGAAATAGATTTCAGGTATAATATTGTCGTATACACTTTTTTGTAATTACAAAGTCAAATTGAAAAGTCACAGGTAAGTAATTTTTGATACAGATGAATTTATCATAGATAAAAAAAATCTCAGTGTTTACCTAATAACTGATTATATATTTATTCACAACACTGCGTGATTTAATTTTTCAGTTGATATTTCTTCACGGAATACAACCGACACATCTGACTTTGCAAGACGCAATACAATAGTTTCACCTCCTCATATTAAACAAGTAATCAAAACAGTTGAAAATATTGAAAGTAAAGTACGTGCGCAATCGCAAGTAGAAACTTATGAAGACTTAAGGTCTAAGTACAGTAATCTGCAAGAAGAAAATGTTCTAACTGATGTAGAGAAACTAATCCCACAAAGTGGAGTGAAAGAAAAAGATGTACGGTCAACTCAAGGCAAAGCTAAAGAAGGTGCGGTTAATAATATTTTGTCATTTTTTCTTACATCTTCCATATAAACTGCATGTTTCACAACTTTATTTATTATATTTTTTAATTATAGAAATTAGTGAAAATCGAGGTCAATCTAAAATAATATCATCTGAAGAAGAGGAAGAAGAAGATGATGATTACGAAGGTGACGAATTAGAAATATCAGAAGGCGAGCGTATTTCTGGTGCAGAAGATTATGAAGAAGAAGAGGTAGAAGAAGAAGAAGAGGAGGAGGAGGAGGAAGAAGAAGATGAGGAAATTGAAAATGTGGACGATTCGGAGTTAATAGCTAAGCTTGATGCAAAATATGGAAAATTACCTACTCCTCAAGATAGTGAAGCTGAAGAAGAAGAGCAGGAAGAAGAAGAGGAAGAAGAAGAAGAAGAAGAGGAACATGATGAATTGCCAGAATGGAAACGTAAATAAAAAAATTATTAAGTAATATACATTTTGAATGCATATATATATATATATATATATATATACATATAGAAATAGAATTTCTCCAGTATTCTCTTATTTTTAATGATTAATAGTATAGTTTTGTCTATACCTATTTAAGTATATATAAATAGCCCATTTAACATCGAGCACCAAGTACATTACATCTATGTTACAATCTAAATGTAATATAACACTATATGTTATATCGCATTTACATTGTTGAGTGCGAAATTATAACATAAATGTAATGTAATTAATGCCCGCTGTTGACTGGGAAATATATATTTATATGTATTATAATTCTATCAAATACTTTGTTTTCCCAATTAAATTAAATGACATTACCATCTCATACATATTATCTCACAAGTTTTTTTAAGTATATATAGACGCGTTTGGGCAAATTATCTATTAATTAGTTATAAGTGAATCAAAATTTAGCAGATATGCGATAGTCAAAATGAGCATGGAGGATTATTATTAGATTGTTACAAGTGGCGCTGTATACATACTATTTGAAAAGCATATGTACAATCTCACTTGTTACGTACGTTATATGTGATTTTATCAACTTTTAATTAGAGATAGAAAATAAGAAAACTCGTGTAATTAATTAAATGGATTCCTAAATCGGTCACAGTACAGCAACGTGAAACATCAATATGACATATTGTGATAGGATTGAGCGTTTGGAGCACTAGGTGTTGGTTTAAAAGTTCAAGTCTGGTGATACAGAACTTGAAAATTTGTTTGAAAGACATGTATGATTGCCGAAACAAATGTATGTCTGACAGTTAAAAAAATATTTTATTTTTAACTAATTATAAAAAGATTTAAACCGTATAAGAATTTAGCAAACCCAGACAACATAATAACTAAATTGGAACATAAGACGTCTTAAAGATAATCTTTAAGACGCCTTAAAGACATTTATACGTAAATCGTCTGAAAGACATTTTAAAGATTATCTTTAAGACGTCTTATATCCCTATTTTAGACATTATGTTGTCTGGGAAACTATTTATAAAAGTTGATAAATTAATTCAAATATAATTTGTAATTTTCAGTAATGTAATTTTTGAGAAATTATTTACGTTTTAAACTATTTTTGTAAACAGATGTTAAAACGCCAAAGGACTCCCAAACGAGAAGACCTACTCAACAATCAACAGGAATAAAAAATAAAGAAGCAGATACTACTCAAGCTAAAGGTGGAGGAAAAGTTCATAATTTTAATAACGTGTCAAATACTGATGACGTAACCGTTCATGAAGAAAATGAGTCTAAGGTACCTCAAATTGGAGAATTTCTCGATTAGAATATATGTGCGCGTTCCTGTAAGATAATTTTGATATAAACTTGTTTTCTCAAGCAATGAGAAAAATTACTGTTTTCTGTACAAACGATCCTACGTTTGTATTGTACATTATTAACACAATGTGTGATTTGCAGTTTCCAAATATTAGAATACCAGTCAATTTCATGTATATAGAAAAATTATAATCTTCGTATTTCTCCATATTCTTATTTTTCATCTATTTATTATCAACTTATTATCTGTTTCACTTTTATTTGTTGTACATAAGAATATCTTGACTTAATTCAAATGTTTCAATTTTGTTAAAAGATTTAACTATTGATATATAACATATATAAAAATGATATATCAAAGACATTAGATTTTTACAAAGAGGACTGATCTAATATATATTTAAAATAGAATTAATACGAAGGAAAAGAAAAAAAATATCACTTTTATCAGATATGTCGTAACTGTCCAAAAATCAATAAATTATACACAAAAATATAGCATGAAAAATTTTAATATATATATATATATTTATATATATATACCCTTGCCTTTTCAAAAGGTCAATGTACAGGCAAAATTAAAACTGCATAGATTCTTTTATATATATAAAGTGATTTATTCGAAATGTTTACAATGCAAGAAAATAATAGTCTTGTTACATGTACAAATAACATTACTTCACTCAGACCTGAAATATTTTCAGGATATTTAACAAATATATGACATATTCTTTTCATGAAAAGAGAGAAAATTATTCTATCTTAATATTTTATATCGGTATGTATATTTTCCTGTTAATTGATTTTCAAACGAGTATGTATTTGAAAGATATTGAATGAGCGCATGCAATATAAAATAAATTTTAGCCCACAGTAAAATATTTTACATCTTCAACGCTTAAGCACTCATGAAAAAGTATATATGTGTTAAATCTTTAAAATTAAAAAAAATTTGATAATACATTGTAATAAATGAAGCTTTTTTCTTTTATTCGTATATTTTTATATAAGAAAATATATATATTAGATAAAACTTGCACGGATCAATTTGATCGAAAGTCACTAGTAGTGAGCGCTTAAGTATTAAAGTTTTATGAAACATATGAATTCTCCTGTTATGCAGCACAAAACATGATACGAAATATTTTATAGTGTAAAAATAAGATTTTTATTTTAAAATAATTAAGTATTGAAAAATTCTATTAGTTACATTTTTCGACGATATAGAGATAGTTGCATGAAGAAATAATTATGATTAAGATAAATCACGTCTGTTCAGTGTTCCATCAAAACCTACCTCATCAATGTGAATGTAGAGTGAGGTAATAAACGTTGTACGCTCTAAAAAATAGAGTATCCGAATTTTTCTGCGAAGAAGGTAATTTCTTAAACAACATATCGTGGTTTAATATTTATGCTTGTGCCTATGTTTACGCGGGGAAGGAGAAGGTGGACTACAAGCTCTATGTTTAGAGGAAGAAGTACGCGGAGGCGGCGGTGGCGACAGAGATGGTGATCTACGTCTTTTCCTATCGCAACGTTCACTAGTGGGAGATCTACGTGATGATCCTCTGCATGAGGAGAAGGAAGGCGATGGTGTACGTCGAATGCGAGGTGGTGATGGGGTAACTGGCACACGTTTCTTATATGGTGATCTAGATCTACGTTTGCAGCGCGGTGATCTGCTGCGAGATCTGAAATATTAGAGTTGTGTATTTCTTTAAAAAATATAAATTAAAGTTTTTTTTATTAATAAATTTCTAAGTTAGGCATTATCAGTATGGAGGATATTTATTATTAGATCTTATTCTATAATATAAAATATATGAAAAAGACAGGAAAAAGAAGCGTATAAAAGTCTGGGACATATTTACCTGTATCTTGTGCCCTTTGCTGATGGACTCGTTGATCGTCTCCGATCTCTGTAATGACTAGGAGATTCCGGCGTTGTGCTCCGTTTCTTTTCTCTTCGTTTATCATCATCACGTTCTTCGCTCTTTAAATCTTTCATCTCTCTCTCGCTCTATCAGTTTTTTTTTGTTTTATATTTTACAATATCATTAAAATAAGCATAATATTATGTACATTAAAATTACCTTTCTTATAAGTTTCTTTCTGTAGTGTTCCACTTGGCCTTGTATCGTCATACCAGATTTTAACGTTCTTCTACCGCTTTCTAATTCATCTTGATATTGCATGATTTTTACTTCGATTTCGCGCAATCTGTTTCGCCTTTCCTCATTGTAATCTCTGCCGCTATTAAGGTAATTTTTTGTGAACACATTCTAATATATATATATATATATATATATATATATATATATTAATGTTAATTATGTAACAACGTTATTATCAGATGCAACAAAAGAAATTTTACCTAGAATCCATACTAGTATCTTGGGAATTAGAATCTTCATTTTGACCTAACTCTTCCCACTTGCTGGTGGTCATTGCCTGTGCTTCCACCTAATAATAAAATTGGCGTTATAAATAAGTTTCTCATGGAAAAATATATAATAATATTATTTATCGCCAATATTTTAAGACCTGATCAGGGTCGACAGTTTCCCATCGCGAAGGAACAAATCCAGCCGGCATTGACGATTTCTTTTCATCTTCTTTGTTTCGTGCATTCGTGCTGTCGTCATCGTCCATAGGCACTCCATCGATGTCTTCATCCACTGTGGCAAATAAACGTTTCATTAAACGTATAAATGCTATATTATGTATTTATACGCATTTGTACGCGCGCTTATTTATTACATATTTATACTATACCACATACTTATTTCGAAAAGAAGATACTTACTTGGCACTCCATCGATATCGTCATAATTTGAAGTCGCTTGAGGTGTGAGGCCATGTTTCATAGCACCTTTCAACAAAGCAGCACCATCCAACGGTACTCCATCCAAGTCTTCAGTACCATCCCCGTCAACATCTGACAATGGTGCACCATCGATATCTTCATCATTTTCCGGCTCAGGCTCGTCCATCTTAAAAAGAGATTACCGATAAACGTCCTGTCCCCACACACACATATTTATAAATGTATGATTTACCAAAACAAGTCCTAAGAAAGTATTCTGTAATTTAACTAAAAAATCTCTCGGGTACACTGCCCAATCTTCCCATGCTCTGAACATTCGCATAACACGAACTTTGAATCCTTCAGCCTTCAATCTACTATCAAATTGTTTATATGCTTGGTGGACTTCGTTAAAGATATCTAGAAGACGTGTCTCAAACCTGTATAAAAAATACAAATAAAATATTATAATATTATAATCATAATAATTATAATATATATTATAATCATAAAATATAATATTATAAATTATACATAAATTATACTATATTTTCTAATACAATCGCGAAATACTTTATCGAATATTACACTTACGCCTTTCTAAGGGATTGGAATTAAATGCGGAGAAATCGAAAATAATGAGATTCAGGAGGGGAGGTGGGAGAAATGAGCTGGAGATGGAAGGGGAGGGTGATTGAGGAAGTGAGAAAATTCAGATATTTAGGATGTTTTGCAAAAAAATGGGGGACAGGAAGAACATGTTAGGGAAAGGGTGAGAAGGGGGGCGATGGTAATGGGTCAGATGTGGAGAATAGGGAAAAGAAGATTTAAAGGGGACTAGGGGAGGAGGATGTGGTTGTTTAATTCGTTGGTGTGATCGGTGATGGGATATGGGGTGGAGGTGTGGGGTTGGAAGGAGAGAGAAGGAATGGAAAGGTTGCATGATAGGTTTCTGAAGTGGGTTATGGGGGTGAAATAGGGGACGCCAGGGTATATATTGACGGAAAAGCTACAAAGGGAAAAGATAAGGGAAAGAGCGGGAAAGATAGCGTAGGGATTCGAGAAAAGGATGGAGGAAGGTAGGGGCAGTGAGATAGCGAGAAGGTGTTGGGAGGAGATGAGAGGGAGGATGAAAAGAGGGAAAGAAGTGGGGAAATGAGAGAATGAAAGAAGAAGTTTCTTTGAGGATAGAAGAATGAGTATAGGGGAAGTAGAAGAGGAGCGGGAGAGGGAGGAGGTGGGCTTCGAGAAAGTGATTAGAAGGGAAAAAATAATGCAAAAAGAGGAAAAATGGGGTAAGATAAGGAAAGCGAAATATAATAAATAGTGCAAATATGTAAAAGGAGAGGGGGTACCGGGGTATTTGAAGAAGGGATAGGGGAGAGTAGGTGGCAGAGGGTGGCAAAGTTTAGGATTATAAGTTTAGGAGATGGCATGAGGGATAACTGGTATTGGAAGGGGGAAGAGGGAAGAAAGTGTAGGATATATAGGTTCAGGGAGGAATCATGGGAGCATGTATAGGAGGAGTGTTTGGGATGGGGGGACGGAAGGAGTTGGCAAGAGATGGTGGAAACAGTGCTGGAAGAGTAAGGGGAGGGAGAAAAGTGGCTGAAAAGGCAAGAAGTTAGAAGTGGCAAGAAGAGAGGGAGATGGGGGATGGAAGGATAGGAGGAAAGAGGAAAAGGTAGGAGGAGTGATTGAGGAGGATGGATAATGAGGAAGATAGAAAGGTGAGTGGAAGCTGTGTGGGAGAGAAAGGAGAGAATGGTGTTAGGAGGATTAGAGTGAATGAAGGAGAGAATGTTTCGCGGAATACAGCGGAAGCAGAGGTCCTCAGGCTAGGCAGAGCGTTGTAGAAGTAGATAGGCATGGATAGGTGTGGGGGATATGTGTGTAAAATTTTAGATGTAGTATAGATGTAAGTTAGAGGTAAGATAGAAATAAGTAAATTTGTAATGGATTGTAACCCCGAGGGGAACAATAAATTAATTATATATACTTACGCCTTTCTATATATAGTAGCATTAGTCACTTTAACTCCACAGTTGTGCAATATATCAGATATCAAGTATAATCTTGAAATTTTTTTATTTACTGGAGTTTGTAATATCGATAGCGACTCTGAAATACAATCACAAATCTCCTCTGCCGCTTCTGCATGTTCTATACAAAATACCATTGCTTCTGCAACTTTTATTCGTTCAGGTGATATGTTTCGCAATAAATCTTCTAAACGATCTCGCTGACTATGAAGAAATGGAACAAGTTTAAAAATGTTATCATATATATTCTTCATAAACAGGACTGTAGCACTTTATTGACAATTGAATTAAGAAACGTATGTAAAAAATGTATATTATAGTTTCCTATTACCTGTTTGAAAGGCTACCCCTTCTAGGCTCTTGTCTCTCTTCCATTTCTATGAGTTCCTCCGGCATTCCTTGTGTCCAAGGGTTGATCGGTGGTGGTCTCCATACGCTTCCACCTTTGAACATTCTAAAATCTTCCGTGTGCCACTCCTTTTGTCCGTCTCCTTGTAAAATAGAATATAATTTCCAGCGGTAATAAGTGTGTGCGGCGGAATAATTGTCAAATAGAAATCTGAAATAAAATCCTCTTATTAATTTAGTTTTTAATTATGACGAGGAATATATGGATTAACATATATTTTCACATATCAGTATCTCACCTGAACATTGGATTATTCAGTTCTCTATTCATAATCATTGCTTCAAACATTGGTCCTTCACGTATTACAAATTCCACCATTCTATGTATTAACATGACTAAGTTCCTATAACGCACAACTTCATTAAGTATACACTCACATCAATCTCCGTTGACACGAAATATCACATACAAACATAGAAATATGACTTATAGACTTATATTTCTTGTACTTACAGACCTCTCACATTATATTATTAAAATTACAAATACCTTTCTGTTGGTATAACCACTTTGACAACAGCATTCTGCAAAACCTGATAGTCCAGATAGTACAACAGTGACAGATGACAGGGCGTTCCAATCCAAAATGCCAAAATTGTGTGTACCCCAAGAATGGTCGCCAACAAATTAATACAACACAATTCGTAAACGCAAATTAGAGTTGCTTTTTTTGTGCAAAGGAACTCGTGTTTCAAACCGTAACACAAAGATATAAATATATTCATCATTCTATATCGTTATTAATGTCTTTGTATGCAAAATGCTTACGTTCTATAGAGAACTTACCAATTTTACCCACTTAGAACATTACCTTCTTCAAGTTCTCTTTTATATACAGATTATATATGAATTTGTGCGAGAGTCTATGATGATTCTTAATTATAGGTAACGGTACACAAGGAATTTTATAAATAAAACAAGCATCGAGATCATTCAGACTAAATATCTAATTGAAGTTACTAAACGTTGGAGGTATATATCTTGTTATCGTCAACGTAATATATACTACAATTCTGAAGTCAGAAGGGATAATTTTACCTTTTCAAAGTTTTCCTTTTCCTGCGGGTCCGCGGTCTGGATGTTGCGGATACGTGGTATCTGAGATTATGTTCCAAAAATGGTTATACGATTCCAACGTAAATTAGCAAGGAAAAGTTATTATGGCAATTTCTTATCAATCGTCTTGAAGTATCGTTTTATCGATCGCACGGCAAATATGAAGACGAATTATCGTAAAACCATGTAAAAACCATTTTATTGCGTAATACTATTTTGAGAGCAATTTATTCGATATGTGCGTGTTAGATTGCATATAATAAAGATGATTCAACTTGAAGATGTTGAATCAATGAGATTAAGCGCAAAATGTGTTTCGTCAGACCTTCCTTAGTATTTTTCGCAAAAGGATTTAGCCTTAGTATAGTATTAGATTTTGCCTTTTTTAATCCTGCGACTACTGACATACTTATGCAATAAAAAAAAAAAAAAAAAGAAGTAGAGCTACATAATACATAAATATGTATTCGGAACGTGATTATCCTCGAGGGTAATTTCAAGTAAGAAGAAAACGAAATCGTTTAAACGCATATTTGAGCATTTTATTAATTGCGCTCCTCAATTGCTTTATTTCGTGTACCTTGTGTCTGTCGCGACGATGCGGTTGAGCATTAAACGGAAGACCAGACTGAGGTGGTGGCTGCGTGATGTCCATCAAAGCGGGCGGAATATAAATAGGGTAAGGCGGAATTGGTACACTCTTTCCCCAGCCTAACTTCATCTCATACTGCATTATGTCGCGACCTACCTCATCATATTGTGGTAACATGTCTTTAATGTTCTCATTATAAGTCGAATATAAAATCATTATAAGTGATTATAGAAAAAATAGCGAATAAACAGATAAATAAAAAATTATATACATAAATGGATGAACTTGTTTTTTATACACAGCTTAAGTCTTTTGAAAACACTCTTGCCATATTCTCACCATTGAGATTTTTCAGTGCCCGTTCTCCATCTTTACGGCTCATGAATGCAACGAAACCACAGTTCCTTTGTCTGGCTTTCTCTTCATCACTGCGTGGCCACATTATCTTTATACTAGCTAATGGCCCATATTTTCCAAATATTTCCATCAGTTGTTGCTCGGTGATCTGTTATAACAGAAAGAGAAAAATATAATATAGTATAATATATTGGTAATAATGGCCATGGTGATATTAATGATAATGGAATAGCCTAGTGTAAAGAAGTAACATTTTACTTTTGGATTCAAATTTCCTAGATATAAGTTTGTAGTATTTGGATCGCCATTGTCGAATGAACCATCTGCAAAACAATAAATTTGTCAGTCTTTGCTATCATAAATACAACACAGGGCAAGATGGCAAGGATAAAGGTAAGGAAGGACAATGGTTACCCTCATATATCAGGGCTAAGAGACGGGGATCATCAACGAAGTTATGCAGATTAGCCTTTCGCGGATCCGGATATGAGGATATACTACCTACTGAAGTTGTAATTATGCTACAGATATAAATGCTATCGTAATAAAAAATACTTGCAATATCATTCCACTACAAGGTTGATCTTATTATCTCATCGAAGAGTTTAAGACCCTAACTACACCAAAATCAAAATATACAGATAAAAACTTTGTGATACCCTTATACATACCTTCCACACATTTCAAAGCAGCCAGCATTGGGTCTTCAGATTGTGCAGATATTACAGTCTTTACCACACCCTTATATTTGTGCCTCTCTTCACGTTCCTCTTGTATCATTTTCAACTCCTCCTTGAATAATTCAAGATTGCTCTTCTTCTTCTCACCTTCTTTCTTCTTCTTTCCCAATCTGTCCATCTTCCTTTCATTTGTACCAAGTAGTCGTGCATATTCTTGAGCCTGTTCAGCTGATGATCTGTTATCAAGTAGTTCTGAAATTTTTGACTGTGGCTTATAAAGCTTTCCCTTTTCTCTTGTATCTTCTTCTGTAAAATAAAAATTATTTATAAATCTAATGATCAGTGTAAGATAAATTTTCCTGAATATATATAAGACTGCAACTATACTTACGTCTTTTGCCTGCATCATATGTTCCTGCTTTAACCCAAACTTTATTGGTTGTTTTGCTAGGTGTTTCTTGAAATGTTGCCACAAATTCTTCAAATGCCTATACACAATATAATAATTGATATAAAGTATTCTGAGATAATAAGAAAGTTAAATAATATAGAGCACTATTTACTTGAGCCGCAGCTTGCTCCTGTTCCTTTTTGCGTTGCTCTTCCAATTCTTTTTTACTCAATGGGCGTTTACCCATTGTACCAATCGAAAAAGCCTTAAGCTTTTGTTCAGCAATTTGCTGTAAATATAAACAAATTCGAGGTTACACAATTAAGAAACATAAATCCAACTCTAAGAAGTAGGTTGTTCTAACTTCTTGATAAATTAACTGATAGTTAAATCATATGTTTGTCTTTGTCTAAATTGAAGGAGAAACAGACAAACATATGATTTAACTATCAGTTAATTTACCAGAAGAAGTTGGAACAATCAGCCTCAAATGAAGTTCTACCTTCATTATAGCCTTATCCGCCATTTGCCCGGATATGTTATAACCTAGAGGTTAACATAAATTAAATTATATCTACACAAACTCCATTACAATTACAGTAAATAAGATTAAACATACAATTGCAATATTAGAAATGTTCGTAGAGAAATCTCACTTTCATTCAAGGAAATATATAACGTTGAGCGGTGATGAACCGAACCGATTCGCACAGTCGTTGGAAAGCACGCGACACAATTCAGTATCACTGTATTTCTTGGTAGTACAATGCTGACGAACCTTCACCGACTTGAACAAAGCTCGGTTACGGTAATAGGCAACTGCAAACGTGCATTTTTATTTATTTACACGACTCACCAGACACAAAGTCATAAAACGACATAGCAGAATGATAACGAAATTCATTTCAGAGAACAAACCAGAACAAACTGAAACATAGAGTGGATTCAACAAAGAAAAGACAACTTTTCGATTACACTAGTAAATTACTGACGACTAAAAGTCCCTGCATCAAAAGTTACTTGATGACTCCTCGAGGAAGAGCGACCCATCTGTGTATTTGCAATCCATGAATATATATTCGACATTTATCGATTAGAGAGAGCTCGACATCGTCGGCAAAGACGCCACCGGATTAATTATCAATTCCAATATCCGCCGCACATAACGACGGCGCTGCAGTCGCCAATCAAGCGGACGATATGAAATAAGTCGATATCGATTATTTTGTCCTTCACCTCCCCTAGCTTCGAACGGGACGATTGCAACGGACGACGGTAAGAGCGCGTATATTACGGAAAATAAAACGTGATGTGATGTCACAGCCGGCACGATTTTGCCGCAAATCAGGTATTCCTATTTTTCTATGTTTGGAATCCCGCGAATCGAAAACACAAATAATGCATACATTATGCGAAACGTGAATCAAATAACACCCGGCGGCGAGGTGTACGATTGCAAAATGGCGAACGGAAAAGCAATTTGGGAACAAAAGTGAGTCCACTTTACTATTATAAGTGATACTATTTACAAACGCGCATAACCTTGAAAATCACGCTGAAGATAGCCTCTCGGCAGTACACCAATACGACACTCGTTCTATTATTGTCAGGAAAACTCGAAATATCAACGCCAAGTTGATATTTTTTTTACACGTCATTATGTGTTTCGACAGCAATCGGTATATCGGAGTAAGGACGTTCCGCAGATGCTCAGTAGCCGCGAGACATCCACGCAATAATCTCGGCATAGTCGAGTACGTCGATTCGAGTACGATTTTACCTCTCTCCGCTCCGTCGACCCCTTCCGAGCCCGGGCCAAACCCACAAACCCCAACCCAGGACGAAGATATTTTGGCGCTTCGACGGCGCCTCCACCACCGAACCGGCCAGATCGCGAGGATGTGGTGGTGATTCCACCCCCTACTCTGGTCGCGATACAGCGACGCCTCCGCGCGGCGTCGATCAATAACATTGTCGCCGGACGACGCCGACGTCGAGAGCGTCGTCGCGCTTGCAAGGGATCAGCGCGAGGCGACGCGGACGGGACGGGATAGGACAGAACACGACGCGAAGCGTCGTGTCATCATCGTCGTCGTGAAAGTCGTTACACCATACGTTGTACCAGCAGATTTGGGCGAGATACGTGCGCGGAAGGAATAACGAGACGACATCGACCGCGGCGGTAACGTGGGAATGCGAGTGACGTTCTCGTCGCGCTTTTCCACGAGGTTCGAGGAACGCGCGAGATCGAACGCGAACGAGGGGCAACCGTATATCGTCGAGTCGTCGAGGTCCCACCCACGACATGGCCAAGGTGAGTCTCGTCGAGGAACAAGATTACGTCGGGGGTATTCGATAACATCGATTGCGTGAGCGAGACGTTGCGATTGATTCGCGAATAACGCGATGCTGCCCGCTTCCTCTGAGTTCGCAGAACGCGAAATCGCGCTCTGTGTACGAGATGTTCCGATACTTCCCGGCTTATCCGTTATAGACACCGGCACAACCTCGCGCAGACGACTAGAGAAACGCCACACAATTCGTGACACAAAGAATGCAAAAACGCGGAAGCTATCGCATACGTGATAAAGATCTAATAGTAACGAGCGTGGTGAAAGCAACAGCTATTTATAATTCGACTTTTTATTTACGTTCTAAACGTGTATGTCGGCGCGTGCAGCACAAAGAGCTCGTCGAAAGAAAGAAAAACACTTGACCGATTTGTAAGCGACTCGATCGAACTTGTACATCGAGCTACGTGGAGCCGTGTGACCGTTTGACTTTGCTGTGATCAGGCTGCCGCGCGTATCGACTCACACGTCGCCGATCCATTCGTGAAATCGAGCGTATTGTAAAAGATTTCGTTGGCTTGAGGAACCATAAGACGATCCGTGTATGGCAATGCTGCGAAATAAATCCACAGTTGGTTAGCATGCACGGGACGAAGTATGATGCTGCTTTTACATAATTTAGAGCACGTTCCATCGCGACGGCGCAGACGCGGGTAGGCAATCTGGACACTGGCGAATTTCCCAGTGTCCCGGTTAGAAACGAGCCACGAATACGTGTGGACGTGCGAATTAACGATATGCCGATTGAAACAAGTACACGCGTATGAGTGACATCAAGTAACGGATGAGCAAGTTTTAGAAATGGAACTAACGGAATCTCGCTTTTTTTTTAATCTAGTAAGATAAAAATACCATTGCCCAGACACATGTCTAATCTTGGGCATCTTTATTGTTTTGATCTTTCGATACAAATATTTAAACCTTCAACATAAAATATGTACATACACTGAATGTATTCTATGTTGAAAAAGTTTAAATATTCACGCTTAAAAACTCAAACACGATAAGAATGTTGAGGAATCGGTATTTTTACTTTATGAGCTGACCCGACCGAGACTTGGTGCTTTATCATGGTGCGTGCAACTAAGCTACACCCACGCATATATGTATTTATATATATATATATATTTGTATATCTATCGGGGCGTTCGATAAGTTCGTAGAAAGATTTATGCGAAGGGTTGAAGGCCGATAGTTTTATAGTTGGCTATAAACTTATGTATGTAAGAAAACATGTACTAAGGTCATTTTTTTTATTGGCATATGGTGAATTGGAAGAAACGAAAAAAAAATAAAATTGTGCCTGATTATGGAAGTATCGGCCAAAATCTCTGTGAACTTATCAATCAATCTATAATATGTAAAACCATGCTGTTGTAATTCCGAGCGATCCAGGAAGACACGGCGCTTGCTCGTACACGATTACGCGATTCAACGTCGCCGTCGCCGGCGTACGCGCATCGTACACCGCCGGCATACGGATTCACGGATTGGTGAATGCAAAAGCCGCGTGTTCCGACAGAATGAAGTAATTGTTGTCGTCGTCATCGACATACGTATACTCGCTAGCTCACCAGCTAGCTAGCTCGCTCGCTCGTTCGCTCGTTCCTTCCTTCGTTCTCTCAATGTGATGAACGTTCTCGCTCGCGAGGCTGCGAATACGTGGCTGGTGGCAACGATAGTAGTGGTGGTGGCGGTGGCGGCGACGGCGGTGGTGGCACCGGGAACACAGACCCAGCAGGTGTAGAGCCGGGGATCGCAAAGCGAATCCGGAACGTTTCATGTATTGTCGTACACGCGTCGGCCGCAACAACACGATCGGCCGTGGCCTGTCGTTAGTCGTTATCGATCCTCCGCCGCGCTTTTACGAGCTTACGTTGCGCGATTCCCGTTTCTTTCTCTTTCACTTCTTCCTCCCCGGTCTCGTCATCGCCTCTTTGTCCCTTTTCGCCGGGGAAAACCGCCGATTCTCGGTACTGTGTGTCAGTGGAAAATTTTCACGATCGACCCACCGTTGTGTATGTGTGTGTGTGTGTGTGTGTGTGAGCGAGCGAGCGATGCCGATAACACGGGGTACGTTCCTCTTACTATAGCCGTTTCTCGCGAGTTCCATCCAGGTGAATGCCGACATCGCGAGCGGAAGAGTAAACAATAGCTTCCACTCTCTCATACGTACACGGTGATTTGCACGATTCATTAAGAAAAGATCGTGTTAACAGTCTATCGGGATTAATTGCTGAATTTCTACGGCATGTAGATCCATCGGTATGCCGTGAGTATACACTTTTGCAGATTCGAACGACCGATAGTCTCAGTCGACGAAATAATCGTCGGTCGTTTCGGGAATTCGCGAGAAACAGATGATCATGAGTGGGAATCGCGATAACCATTGAGTGTGTTTTCGCGATAGCTTATCTACGAAGATCACGTACTTATCGATACTTCTGTCCGCGAGCGGTCCTTCGCGTGACACAAATCGTGCGAGAGCACCGCCGCGCGCGCGAATTTTCCGTCTCGCGAATCGATCGCGGACACACGTCGTCTCGTATCCTCTCGCGCTCGTCGCCTTGTTGACATTGACAATGATAACATTTGTGTGTCTTATGTAATGTTAGATAAGCGATGTTGCTTGCGCCGAAGCAGGAAACTCTAGGTGTGCGCGCGCGCTCTTTACAATTCCGAAAGCGGGCAAACGCGAAACGCTTCTGCCCGCGTTCCTATTCGTCTCGTTAATCTTTTAAACTGATCGAGACAACGTCGCGGGAACTCGGCGATAGTCTATCACGAACGCGTGCGTGCGCGCGGGCGATGCATTCCATTGAAATTATAATCAATTGAAGGTACATAGCACGCTCACGACACTGTCGATAGGCCGTATGTTACAAGTCACGCTGGCGCGCGCTGTTACGCGCATTAACTTGATCGCACAGCACGCGAGTCGCGAGCGATCGCTCGCAATGCAAAATTCCGCGATATTGTATAATAATTCGACGCGCGAGGCGGCCTCTCTCTCTCTCTCTCTCTCTCTCTCTCTCTCTCTCTCTCTCTCTCTCTCTC